AAGCTAGAGACCCCTGTTTGAACTGATATTTAACCCATATCTAGGGGTAGAGGTAAAAGAGAAGGATTCTTTACTTTTCAATGAGCATTATTGAGAAAGTGAACTCAGTCAGAATTTGAACTATACTTACCAATGTCACTTTCTGCATTGCACTACCTGTACTCTCATGTAGTCAGAGATTGGTTTATGGTTGGTCTTAATGATAAATAAGCATAACTGACAAATTTCATCTGTTTCTAGATTTAGAATAATTGCCTCATCTATATTATTCACTAACCAAACATTTCGGGCTTCTGAGGGTAGCTGCTGTATTTGGAATATTAAACCATAATCTGGGGAGAGGTGTATGTGTTTACTCTCCCATATACATGTCTAATAGCTCACTTTTTGAGTTCTTGAAGTAATTAAAAAAAAACTACAAACTATCCTTTTCTGAACTTCTAGGATGCAGTGCTTTTATATATTTATGTACTATTTTCTTTGCTTTTTTAAACCTATTTTGCTTAATTCATTCTTTGCTGTTTTTAACCTATTTTTATTAATTTATTCTTGACCTTTTTGTAACCTATTTTGTTTAATTCTTTGGGTTTTCTCATGAATATGTTGCATTCATTTAAAAATAATAAAGATGAAGACAACAGTCCAAAACGTATAGCGAATAATGCAAAGATTGCTTTTGTTACACTAATATCAACTGCAGCCATGCACTGTCAATATACTTTTTTATTTGAAACTGAAGCACATTCTAGCAAATGATAGTAAAATACTAATGTAACAAATTTTCATTTAGTTATATAGATATTGAATAGAATTCTCTTTAACTTGTGTGTCTTGCATCAGCAACAGATATTGTATTAGTTATAATCATTTAATAAAAACCAAATTAACTAATTACTATTAGAAAGCAACACAATAGAGAAGCAAGAGTTAATGCAATTAAAATCAGTTTTAATTAACTAGAGCACAATGTCAGTTTTTAAATCATGCACTTATAAAAAAAAAAATACTGCAGAAAAATACCAATAAAATTTACTTAAAAAAAATAAAGTACAGAGTAATTACATATTCAGAAATTTCTTTATATAGTGTGTTGAAAATATGGATTAAATCCAACAGAATGATTAAATAAGAAACAGCTAGGAAAATCTTTATAAATTTGACATGTTTCGCTATTTAATTTAGCTTCATTAGAAATTTGGGGGGGGGAAGTAAAACAATGAAGCGTCATGTTTCAGCTTTTTAAATTCTATATTGTTTTGTTTCCATTGATTGTGTAGACAACATGTGTATATGTTCAAGCAGAAACACAAATGCCATAAAGTATACATGTGATGTCTACAGAATCAATGGAAACAAAAAACAATTTAAAACTTGAAACATAATTCCATATTATTTCAGTTATAAAAAAAATAATATTTCTGATTAAAGTAATGGGAAACATTAAATTTATGATAAACTTTTCTACTTGTTCCTTATATATATGATAAAAATATAGTTTTAAGGAATGCTATATTTATGGATTAAAGTGCTCAGTATCAGAGATAGAACATATGTAAATATAAAAGTGGACATTGAAGTTAACACCTAGTGGTTACAACTTGTTTCATGCTTAAATGCAATTGTGTTTAAGCATGAAACAGACTGTTACTGCTGGATGTTGACAGTTCATTTTATGTTGTTGCCAATGGGTGTTGACTTCAAAGTTTCTTTTTCATATATATATATATATATATATATATATATATATATATATGTGAATTGCAGATCATCAAATATGGATCGGAATCCAACAGGATGATAAAATAAACAACAAATGGGAAATGTATATCAATCTAAAATGTTTCACTTTATTAAAGCTTTGTTAGAGATTGAGAGAAAACAGAGACAGAAACACTGATCTTTTCAATTATGTTTAGGTCAGTTCTTATTGGTCAAATATGTGTTACATGTATTAAAACCATACATAACTCTATATCTATGTAGGTTTGTAAAGATTTTTGTATGTCTAAGTAGGCATCAGGTAGTAATGTGTAGTTGTGATTGTGCATGTGTGTGTCTAGTGGGAGTTCTATCTTCACTTTTGTTCAGTCAACCCACACAGTGGGGTGTCACAAGGTTCCAATTTATGGCTGACCTCTTCAAGAATGTTTTTGTGGTATTAGATAGATATAAGTTAGATTCTTTAAGAATGGATTCAAAGAAAGATGGTGATGTAATGTTTTAGGCATGTGTTTATAGTTGGTAATAATGTTATTATTAAGTTTTCAATGTATTTTCTCCTTAAACAATTATGTTTTTTTTTTTTTTATTAGGGTGTCATTAGTGAATTCAAAGTTATGTCCAGCATAGTTTTGATGCAAAATGAGAGTGATATCAATTGTCCAAACAAGTCTCTCTTACGTTCATACATGCAGGCTTTTAAGATCACATGATGACCCCCCACACAAAAACATTTTTGCATTGTAAGTAATTTATTTGATAAATCCCAGCATTTGAATCAGTGTTGGATTTATTTTTCTTCTTAATTATATCAACAATTATCTTGGAGGTGATGGAAATGATCCTAGTATTAGGGATGACTAATTTCTTTGCAAGTTTAGTAGAAAGAGTGTTAGAGTGCAAGATTATGAATTTTGTGTAATTTTTGTTACAAGTGTTATTGGTGGTGTCTGTTTTTTTGGCTTTGTAGATTTTGTAAGATCCTTTTTTAGCATTGAGGATAAAATGATGTGAGGAGAGAAATTTGAAAATTTTCTTAACACATTTTTCTTCATTTAGGTATTCCAGGCTACATCCTATGACTAGTCCAGATTTTATTTTTTGGTTGTGGTGGAAAGAGAAGTTGATTAGTTCTGTTTGTGAGTTTACAATATACCTTAAAATCTGATTTCTCATTTTTGCATATTAATAAAATGTTGAGGAAAGGTAAAGAATTGTTTATTTCAAATTCATGTGTGAATTCAATATTATCAATACCTTATTGAGTTTCATTATTATGTCTAATAGGCTTGTATCTTGGGAATATAATAGGAGAACATCATCTATATTTCTTAGGGAAGTAAATCTGTTTGGTATGATGTGTCTAAATGGACTGGATTCTAAAAATTCTACAAAAAGACAAGCAAGAACACCACTGATAGGTGACCCCATAGGTAAGCCAAATTTTGTGCCTGACCAATGAGAACTGACCCAAACATAATTAAAAATACCAGTGTTTCTCTTTTTGTCCGTTTTTTCTCACTCTCTGATAAAGCTTTAATAAAAGTGAATCATGTTAGATTGATATACATTTCCTATTTGTTCTTTACTTTATCATATATTTTGTGTGTGTGTGTGTGTGAGTTACTGACTGAGGGAGACGATCACAGTATTTGAAAGCCATAAATGTTTTGATAGTATGAAGTCACAACTCCTTGTGTCTGAGAGTTTGAGCATTAAGGTGTTCTCAGCATAGTTGCAGCATAAACCACAAGCATCTATAATAGAGTTAGGTTTTGGCTAGCCATACTGACAGATAGGTATGCTCAGAAACAAGTAGTTACCATATATATTTCTCACACATTCAATGCTGGTGTTAATAAAATAGTTCTCGATGTAATATAGCAGAGCTAAAGATTATATATTAATAAATATACATTTTTTTCTTCACCGGTAACATGACTTGGAGTTTCATACATAACAGTGAGGAAAAAAAAAAAAAAAATATATATATATATTATTATATATATATATATATATATATATATATACACACACACATATACATACAAACAGTATGCTGCACTACTTGGCATTTGCACCAGAAAGCTCAAATACAGAGTGTTTGGATGTCAATTTGAGAACAGTGCAGAGGATGGTGTTCCCTCAAAAGCTGTACTGAGAGTGATACAAACCAAATATCCAATCAATATGTTTGGAGTAATCACTAGTGATGGTGACATTATGCCTCCATTCATCTTCCCACAAGGCCACAAACTCAACATGGAGGCCTACATCAAGTGTCCTGGGTCAAGAGGGTGGTTGCTGAAAGACCCAATGTTTGGCAACAAGCCTCTGCACTATGCCACACAAGCAGGAGAACACAGTCATGCCTGTCAGACAATTTCTGCAACCACATCATCTCTTACATCTGGCCACCCATCTCCCCAGATTGCAACCCTCTTGATTATTAAGTGTGGGGTGCTTGTAATACCAAAGATGAACAGAAAGCAAGGATTCACCAACTTAAACCAGGAGACCTCCAGAAAAGTTGCAGGAGATTTCAAAGTCATCTGGAGACTGTGGTTGAAGCCAATGGCAATTTTATTGAATAAATTTACTCTTTAGTATTTCAAGATATTTTGTGTAATTTTGGTAAATACATCTTTTCAAATGAGATATCAACATTTTTGCATAATTTAGATGACATTTTATCCATCACATCCTCTTTTCTCTCTATATATATATATATATATATATATATATATATATATATATGTATGTATATATATATATATATATATATGTATGTATGTGGAAAAGTTCTTAGCCTGGCTATAAAGCTTTTCCCCACAAAATTCTGAGATCTTTTCAGTTCTCTCTTGTGTGTGTGTATATATATATATATATATATATATATACACACACACACATGTGTGTGTGTGTGTGTGTGTATATGTAACTATGTATGTACATCCATAATCACAAAAAAGGTTTACAGAGATTTAGAAAAAAATGTTCATGATTAAAATGGTAGTAACCAATAACTAAAATATAACGTAAATATATTTATATAATAAACACTTTAAAAATGATATAATAATATTTACAGTTGGTTTGCACCTGTAGCCCTAAGGACAAAATGGTAATGTAATTAACAAAAAAAAAAATTTGAACAGCATTTCAAAGACCAAAGAAAAAATCTCAAGGCAGCAGAAAGCAGCTTTCTTGCATCTATTTGGGCACTGTTATCATTGAAAAGTTGCCATGAAGCAAGTAAAAGTGGGGAAAAAAAAACTTACCCGTGAAATACTGGCAGCACCCCAGTTGTTAACTATGGAAGACATGGAACAAGATCTGATAGTAAAGAAAAGCTAAGTCAGAAGTACAAACAACTTTCAAGATGTGAACCATTTTTTTTAGAATTAAAAAGTAAATTTTAATAAATGTTTCAAAAGCAGAATTTTTAAGCTTGAATGATTTCAATACTATTTGTTCTCTACAAATATTGAAAACTTTGCCAGAAGACATGTTAAAAAATAGAATAGAAATTTCCATAGAATTAAGGTTCTTGCTTAAAAGCCAAAACCAGCTTAACCAAACCCCCCATAAAAAAAGGTAAGAATATAAAAAACAAATAATGAATATATGGATGATAACAAATGTCCAACTTATCTTTCTGAGTTTTGAAAATATGGTATCTGCTTGCCAGGTTGTTTGATGGTAAAATTGAATTTACTCACAGAAATCATATCTCTTGAAAACAGTTTTCTTTAAAAAAGAATTTTTTATGTCAGCTTATTTTAAAGAAATGAGAAATTGGAGAACCAAGTTTGAATTCCAGTTGAGTTTGTTATATTCCCTTTTATGCAAATACTCTTGGGAGCAGTATAAATCCATCTCTTCTCCCCCAGCTATGGGTTGAATAGCAGGACAGACTGGGTCATATAGCCCTGGTTGGCAACGTGTCTACTACAGAAAGAAATGGCAATCTACTGCAGGAAAAGTCATGAATCAAAAGAGACATGATTGCCCAAGTGTGTATCACGTATGGTACTTAATTGACTGATTTTAAATTCGTTCTTTCTTAAAGACCTTCAGAAATATGATTTCTGTAAATCAATTAAATTTTACTATGAAATCCCAGGACAAGCAGATACCAAATCTATGAAACTCCAAGATGAGAAGTCAAGTTAAACATTTAATTTTATTTGTTTTTATAATTGCTCTATTAAGCACTTTAATTACAAAGACAGCTTGCCTTAGAAGCACTATCTTCCAGCAATACACGTCAACTGTTCTGTGGCAAAACAATCTTTGTTCTTATTATAATAATAATAATGATAATAATGTAGATGATAAAAATATTTAAATTTTCTTTTTACTATTTTAATTTAAATTTTTAAAAACTGAAAGAAAAAGGTGATAAAAATAAAAAGTCAAAAGATGCAATCTTTGCCAATCTCTTTATCAAAAAAGTAATCCCAAGGTTGCAAGCGATAACAAGCTTGAAGCTGAAATTCACATAATGTACATGTCTTGTGGAAGAAAAATAACCCCAGTAGAAATGAGTAGACATTAGAAGACAAGCTGAATAGCAAACTGTAATCATCTGTGTACATTTAGGAAACAAAGCTATAACACTTACTCAACAGTGACATCTCTCTCATCCAGTGATATGTGACTTTGACGCATACAGTCTGAATCGTTGTCATGGTTGGGCCATTCAATATGCCGAATGAAAGGAGATGAACATGATGATGATGTAGACATAGCTGAAGGAACACTAGGAGATGTTGCTTCCACCAGATGAAGGTGCGTATCCTTTGACTGAGCAACATGGATTGCAGCTAAGTATTTTTCCCGATCAACATTTGAAGAAAATTTTTCCAGTTCCTCTTCCCTTACTTGAATAGAAGTAGGATTTAGCAATTCATAAATAGATGATAATAGGGATTCTCGATTCTCAATTGATATGTCTTTTAAAGAATCTGAAAACCATGGAAAAAAACGTTTTTTTCAATACTCTGAATAAAATAATTTTAATTTCATTATATTTATTTGAGATTTTAAATTAAATAAAATAATAAAATATGTACTTGGATTTAGTGGAAACAGGGTGAGCAATAACTGAGCAGTACTAACATAAAAAGAACTAGATAAGCTATCCCTATATATGAGTAGTGAAATGAGAACAATCAAACCCCACGGATTAAATTAGGAGCTAAATTTAAAATTCCCTGTAGGCTACCCAGATCGACATACTTGATGAAGGTCAGCGGGCACAATGACCAAAACATTGTGATGATAACAAAAAAGATGATGACATTTGTCCACATGTAAATAATAATATATTTGAAATTCTTCGTAGTTTACTGGATTGACCCTCACCTGATGAAGGCTGGAGGGCACAATGCTCAAAACATTGTGATAACAACAAAGATAAATATAATAGTCCACATGTAAATAATGTGAATAACAATATATTACTTTACAATAAGTAAAAATGTTTTGAATCTAAATTTGAAAATAAAATAATAATTCAGTATTAACCACTCCAACTAGTTCTAAAACTACTTTTCAAAGTAATATACCTTGACAAGATACATTATGAATGTATGCAATATTCAATGAAAATTTAATAATATCAATCATCATTTTTTAAATACTTTTCAAAAAGTAGCAGTTTGTTGGACTATACAAATGTTAACAAATCGATCCTTCAGATCTACAAATCAACAATTTACCTTTGCATGGAGTATTACTGCCATATATGGTCTGGAGCCCCTTCTGTCTGCCTCGGGGTTCTCGATAAGATCCAGAGGCGGATATGCAATATAATTGGCCCTGTTCTGGCACCTCATCTACAGTTGCTCTCTCACAGACGAGCTGTCACCTCTCTCTATCTTTTTTACAAATACTTTCATAGTAATTGTTCCGAGGAGCTGTATTCGCTGGTTCCCAGACTTCATGAATTCAAGTGCCCTATGAGGCTGGCATCCCGCTCTCACCCTTTCACTGTCAAAACAGTTAAATGTAGCTGTCTCTTCTACTCCAATAGCTTCATATCTCGCACCTCTCGCCTGTGGAACTCCTTTCCCTATTCCAGTTTCCCTGAGAGCTATAATCTCCAACTATTCAAATGTAATGTCAATCGACATCTCCAGTTGCCTTGATCTATCCTCTATCCTTCTCCCCATCCTTTCCTCTATCACTCCTATCTGATCTTGCTCCAAATCTTCTGTAACCCCTTGCGTCCTAGTGGCTTCCCACCTTGCTTGGGGTGAATCATTTAAAAAAAAAAAAAAAAAAAAAAAAAAAATGTATGAACACCCAGTAAGTGTTTGATAAAGTATGTCACAAAGAACTGATGGAACTGCTAGGTAACCTTGACATATTTGGGAAGGATATTAGAATAATCCAGAACCTATACTGGCATCAAACTGCCTGCATATGGATAGAAAATGAATTAGAAATGGGTATAAGACAATGATTTGTCTTTTCACCAAACATTTAATTTATACAGTGAGGCAATTCTGAGAGAATTAGAAGTGCTACCAAGATTGATTATTGGCAGACACAATGTTAAGAACTCAAGATATGCAGATCACACAGTGTCGATAACAAACATAGAAAAGAAACTACAAGAATTTCTACAGAAGATAATAAAGGAAAGTGAGAAGAAAGGATTAAATCTCAATTGCAAGAAGAGAAAATGCATGGTTGTAAGCAAAAGGAACAATCCAACATAAAAATTAAAAATTAAAGATACCAAAATAAGACAAGTACAACAATTTAAATATCTGGAAAATAACAGAGGACGGAAAATGTGACACTGAAATCCGAAGGTGCATTGGAATAGCAAAAAGATACCTTTCAAAAGCTAAGCAAAGAAATAGGAAAAGAAAAGAGTACTGAACTGTTATATAATATCAGTTCTTCTGTATCGCAGTGAATGCTGGACAATCTCCTCACAGAGGAAGAGACATGAAACCACAGAAATATGGTTCTGCAGAAGAATGCTGAGAATACTATGGACCAAATGTAAGCAACAATAAAGTTTTAGAAAAAAGTAGAAACAAAAAGGGCACTTATACTTAATATCAGAAAGAGGGTTGAAATTTCTAGGGCACATAATGAGGAAAGAGGGCTTGGAGAATTTCATACTCACAGGATAGTTTGAAAACAAGAGGAAAACAACACATAACCTACCTAGTGAGCTTGAGTAAATAGATAGCAGAATATGGTTTAGGAGAAATAACAAAAAGACAAAATTTATTAAGAGCTACAAAGGACAGGAAATTGTGGAGAGCCATGATTGCCAATGTCCTGAAGGGACGTAGTGTAGAGAAGAAAAAGAAGCAATCAATTTACAATGTCTTGTGAGATAAAGATGCCAACTCTCTCTTGACAAAAAAAATTCTCATTTTGTGAATATTTGCTGAACTAAACCAGGTTTGCCATATTAACTGAGCACCTATCTACAAATGAACATCTACTCATCTTGGCATCAGTCCCTTTCTCACTGCCATAACATAGCTTCCCGCTGCCTTTTCTATAAATACTTTAATGGCAATTGCTCTTATGAACTATGGTACCTAGACATCATGAATTTCAGTGCAGTACTAGATTGGCAGCAAGGTCTTATCTTCTTAGAATTGAAATAGTAGATGTAACTAAGTTCTATTCTGACAGTTTCTTCTATCATACTTCTCACTTGTGGAAATCTCTTCTGGCCTCTTGCTTCCCAATCAACATTGATCTTCAAAAATTTAAATGCAATGTCATTATCTTTTCTCCTTAATTATTGTTCTTTTATTGCCTTCTGTCCTTAATTATAGTTTTCACATATTTTCTAACACTCAGTAACCTAATGGCTTTATTGCTTTGCTTGGGGTAAAACAATTAAAAAATACAAAATGCTATAGCTTTGGAAATGAACTAAATACTGGTCTACAGTAAATGTTCTGCTTTTTATATCAATTAGATATTTGCTGAACTTAACATGTCAAATCCTGAGAGCTGACTACTTACTAATACCCTATCCATTGACATTTTGGGTAAATTTAACTATTTCAGAAATGCCTGTGTAACATATCTACACTGAAGAACTGCAAGCCTAATAAAAGATGTTCACATGAACAGCTTTATTCTACTTTCATGTTAGGCTATGTAATTCTTCTCAGTGATTCAACTGGTTAATGATATACTTTGAAATAAGCTGATATTTTACAGGTTTAAATGGTAATAGCTTATAAAACTAATGATAGACAATCTGAGTAACAAACTAAATTGAAGTTTCATTTGCATGTCTTTCTTCTCTACTGATTGGAGAGATGTGTAAAAAAAAACAAAATTATTATAAGCATTCTAAATTCCTTTAAAAAAAATGCTTTTACAGTGAACTGGTGAATATTATACAGAAAATTCATATATATCCATATATCTCCAAATAAATTTAATTAAAAAGAATTGACAAGGTCTGTCCAATTTTTGAATAAGATGTTTAATATTGTGCTCAAAGTTGTGGATAAACTGTCTGAAGTTCATATTTTGTTATTGTTTTGTTCAAGTACTTTCGACCATCAAAGTCATTTACAAGAACCAATATGGAGCCTGTGTGGTAGTTAGAATTTCTTTGTCTACATCCTAGTATTCTTTTGAAAGCTGGAAATTTGAAATAGTCTACAGAGATGTCATGTGTAACAGTCAGAGGGAATTAGGTCACACAAAAAGAATGCAATTTATTTTTTTATTATTTATTATTTTCTAAAATTATTTTATTTATTTGTATTTTTTCTTATATTAATATAATATTGGTTCTTGAAAATGACTGCAATGTTCAAAAGTACTTGAAGAAAACTAACAAAATATAATATGACAAAATATGAACTTCAAACTCAACATCTTATTTGAAAATTGGAAAAACATTTAAAATAATTAAACTGATAGAGTTTGTCGATTCTTTTTAATCAAACTTGTTTGGATGAATACTTGCTGCCTAAAACCCTTTATTCTACATTCAACACCACTTGATAAGACACCAAAAAAAAAAAAAAATTTTGAAACAAAATGGCTATTTTTGTAGTGATTTTATAACATTTATGTTATAATTTTCAAATAAATTATATATATATATATATATAAAAATTCACGTTTAAATAAGATATATCCTTTTGTATTATATATTTCAATCAACAGTAAATATGCAATTGATAAGAACATAAATTTCAATTAGTTAGGTTGTTTGATTTTACAACATGTCAACTCATAGTGTTATTTAATGTTGAATTTTATATAGGGCACTTAGTGAGGATCAGACTCATTACTTATTAGTAGTCAAACCAGTGAGTTTGATCCTCACTAGATGCTCCATACAAAATTAAATATTAAATAATCCAATGAGGATTAAGATGTTGTAAAATTAATCAACTTAACCAATTAATATTTACATTATTATCAATTAGTTTATTTACTCTTGATAGAAATATTATATATATATATATATATAAAATTTCTATCAACAGTGTGTCTGTTTTCATTGAAGACAACTGACAAGGCACGGTGATTAAGCATTTTATTAAATTTTTCTTGCATACATACAAGCATAGTGTGTAAAAACTATCCAAATGTCCTATGGATCTGAATCCTTTTATCTAATCTATTAGCCATGATCAAGGATGTTTTTTTAACTAAATATGGAGATTTCTATATTTCCAAACATGGTTAGAATGTTATGGCAGTGTTCATAATTCATATTGAGAGTTGGCTTCTTTTTTCATTATTAACACTTCCATTATTTTTAACCGTTATTTGCATGTGAAAGAGAGTATTATGGTTGTATTTTTTACAAGCATGTTGTGAACAGAGTTTGATAGATCCATGTGTGTGCTTAAATGGGTCATAATGGAGTTATGATCCGAGAGATGTAAAGTGAGTCTTCTTGATAAGCATGTATGATGCATTTATTATTCATGAATTTGTTTTTGCATTTCTTTAAGGGGCATGTAAATACATAAACAATATCTGTAGTTTGGATCTTACAGTGGAGCTGTTAATGTTGGCAATGAGGGTGGCTTGTTTTAGCATTAATAACAAAAGAAGAAGAAACCAACTGTCAATATTATCAACTATGAACATGACCACAATCTGCTGTGTTCAAAAATTAAAAAAAAAACATTCCCATCCCCATAGATACACGCAGTATTTATATATATATATATATATATATATATATATAAAAAGATGATGGACATAAGAGCACAACTAATCCAAACAGATAACTGAAATTTTTATACAAGATCAGCGTTCCGTTTAAATATGATCACGTTGTCGTCACGTGGGCGATGTTGTGAAAACGTATTCGAAGATGATTTTCAAATATTAAAATATTAAAAAAGTCGATTGAACTATTTTATATAAACAGTTCAAGAAATCCCTTCCGTTGAATATAGGAATACGTAGAGATTAATATCTTCATACAAGCTTGAAGTCCTCCACGTTACAAAGCAAATCAAAAATGATTTCAAAAAACGATGGAACAGTTCTAAAAAACAGTTCGATAATATATATATATAATTATTACCCCCTGATGTTTTACAGATGGCATGAGATTTGAAAGACTCAATCTCTTTCTTGGGGACTTTTCATAGCAAAAAGACATATTCTTTTCACTCTTGCAAAATGTAAGTAATCAACTACAGAGACTTAAAGTTGCTTTGAACTTTTCTCATTTCATTTCATATCTTTTTTTTTTAAATGTCCTGACAATATATTTGTTATTATTTTTAAAATGTCCAGACAATATATTTGTTATCATTTCTTTGTTCAAATTTTATGTCTTATTATTCCTTTGGATTTATATGAATCCACCAAAATTGTTAGTGGGTCAAATGTACCAGGAAAATATAACTTCTCATCAAAAAAATAGAAATCCACTACAATATATATAACTATATATTCAGTTTAAAAAACATCTTTTATAATAGCTAATCAATTATTCAAAAGCACTTGGATACCTAGAATATATAAACAGTTTTTATATACTATGTCCACAAAAGAAAATACTTGTATTAATGCAAGAAAAAAAACTAATAAAATGATTAGTCACAGTGCCTTGTCAGTCGCATTTAATGAAATTTGTATAAAGCATAGATTGCTGCCCAAATACGCAATATATATATATATATATATATATATATATATATATATATAAAATACAATGTATTTTCTAACACATGACTATTACCAAAAGGTGTATTTTACAGATAGTTTTTTTTTTTTTTCATAAAAAATAAAAACCATTAAGTAATTGTGAAGAACACATTGAGTGGAAAAAAACTTACCAATAAAATGTAAATTCCCTTCCAACAGAGTGTTTCCAGTAACTTGATTTTCTGAGTGCAGGAGGAAAACAAAAAAAAAGAAGCAATTTTTATAATGAAATTCAAATTACCTTAAGAAAATAAATTTAAAAAAAAGCATCAACACAGAAAAATAATTGATTTTTTTTTCATTTTCTGTAAATTTTAAAAATAGAATAAAATTAACTGGAATATAGAAAATATAGAAGGAAGTAATTAAAAAAAAAAAAAAAAAATGAAATTAATCAATATTTGATGAACACGTTCAGTGTCAAAGGATGTTAATTAACATTTTTGTTACTTTGTTACACAGGGAAAAAAAAATGTTGGTGCTGAAGGTGCGAACAAAGATATGCAGTTAGTTTCTTCATCTTCCTTTCTGAACAATATTGCTATTGAAAGAGAAATATTACAAATACTACATAAAATATTTTAAATGGATGTTTTTGTTTTGTTTTTTACCAGGAAACTTACCATGAAATATCACAGCAAAATGTTCAGCCAAACCTCGTTGATCAAGCCATCGAACTACATCAGCCGTACTCCATTTCTTCAACTGAAAATTCAAGAAATTACAAAACAGATTAAAGTATGAAACTTATTTTTTTTAAGTTTCTGGAAAATTAAAGTTAAAAGTTAAGTGCATAAAAATGTTAAATTATGGATATAGATGTTTGAGTAGATAACCCTGTTTGTTTTTTTAAACAGTATAAATTTATGTTTGCCAGCCTGTACATAGATGACTTAATAAAAATGTACCTTCTGGTAGAGTTCTAAAATGTATCCTCCTTTTAGGGGAAATCAGCATCTGGTCTGGAAGGATTTAGTCTGGTGAGCCATGGAAAACTTTCACAGTCCAGCAAAGTTCAATTACCATTTTTAAAATCCAAAAAAAGAGATGCATTCCTTAAAAACTTGCTTTGCTGTGAAAGCTTTCCATAGCCAAGTCATCTATAGGAAGCTAGGCTAGATAGTAGTTTCACCTATAAAGAGATGCAAATTTGAACCCTGCCAGAAAGTACATTTTATTTATTATGACTATTTAATGCACAAGCCAATAGATATCAATTTACACTGTTTAAAAAATAATAATAAAATGGAGATGTATGCTCAAATACATGTACCCACTAAATATAACATTTCAAGTTATTTTTTTTTTTTTATTTGTTTAGCAGCATATCTACTCCTTATAAGGCCATTTAATCCTGAAATTTAATTTTCTTGTGAGCATCAGTAATTTCTTTTACAAAAATGTATTGTTGGTAATTCTTTTATTTTTATTTTTTACAACAGGTGCTACCACCCTAGGTCAGAGTCCACCTGGAAACAAAAGTAATTAAGAGGTGATTCCACACTCCTCAAAGCCTCCAGATCAAAGGCCTTGCAGCCTGGATGTAGTTTATCATCATACACAGGATGGAACATTTGAAGTAATATGTGTTAAATAAAAAAAATAAAAAAAATGCTTTACTGTATATACTTGAGTATAGTGCAAGTTTTTATGATCAGGTTTTATACAAAAAAATAGGTGGTCACTCTAAACAGTTAATTTTTTTTTGAAGAGGTAAAAAATTATGCATTTTCAGTGACCAGTTGCACTATACACAGGTAAATCTTTTCTGGAGGGGTTACAATTCATGCCCAAATACACATGGGTTGCACTATACATGAAGTCAGCTTATAGACAAGTTTATGCAGTAATTGATGGCATATACAACCTCTCACTTAACCTAAATTCTCCTAGAATCATTTTAAACAAATGCCTTCTCTTTTCCACATATGATGACCATTTTGCTTAAAGTTCATACAGGTTGACCATCACTAATCCAACATCACTGAGACCTCTAGGATACCAGATAAATTTGTTGAATTACTAATAGTTACATTAGAATATGCTTACACCCAACAGCTAACCACTTTACCTTACCTTTAAACTACCTTGTAAATTAGTACATGTTAGTTAATAAAGGAAAAAGAAAAATTGAATGAAAATCAAGTGAAATTTTAAGAAAACACAAAACAAAATGTAGTGTTTGCACTTGACACAATGTGAAGCCACTTCCTGTATTTATTGAAGCTATGATTGGGGCCAAACATGAACAGGTTATATTAAAGGGCAGAAAAGACAAGTAGAACTGCCTTATCAGTGTTTGAAATTGCTTAAAAACAGAAAATGCAGCAGCTAGCACCACCAAACAGTAGTGGCAGATCTGTGAGGTCATGATCCAGGAATTTGAAATTACACTGGTGGAAATTAATGCTGAATTACTGACTGCCAACTTGTATTTTCTTGATTTGGGATAAGAACTTGAAAATTTTCTAATATATTTCAGTGAAATTTTTACTTTCCAAAATTACAGGAGGATATGAATTAAAATATATATATATATATATATATATATATATATATATATATATATATACACACACACACACACACACACACACACAGGGTGCGATGGATAAATTATCATCTAAATTATGCAAAAAATGAAAATAGCACTGACATCTCATTTTAACAGATATATTTACCAAAATTACACAAAAATATCTTGAAATACTAAAAGGTAAATTTATTCAATAAAATTGCCAGTGGTTTCAACCACGCCCTCCAGACAAGTTTGGAATCTCCTGCAACTCTTCTGGACGGTCTCCTTGTTTAAGTTGGTGAATGCTGTCATAATCCTTGCCTTCAGTTCATCTTTGGTCTTACAAGAAGTTTTGTTGGTCTCTTGCTCCACTGTACCCCACACATAATAATCAAGGGGGTTACAGTCTGGGGAGTTAGGTGGCCAGATATAAGGGGTGATGTAGTCGCAGAAATTGTCTGACAGCCATGACTGGGTTCTTCTGCTTGTGTGGCATGGTGCAGAGTCTTGTTGCCAGATATAGGGTCTGGTCAGCAGCCACCCTCTTGACCCAGAGCAGCATCAGCTCCTCAAGATACTTGATGTAGGCCTCCATGTTGAACCTGAGGCCCTCACCAATAAATTCTGGAGTACTTTTCGTATGAGAACAACCAGAGTGAGTTTTCCAAGCTGCTGTACCTTTATGATCACCATTAGACTTATCTTCACTCTTTCCGAATCCTCTGCACTGTCCTCAGATTGACATCCAAACACTGAAATATTCATATTGGAATTTCCAGTGTGAATGCCAAACAGTACAGCATACTGCTTCCCAATTTTTGGCACAGTGAAGTGCATCACGGTACTCTTTGCTCACAGATGGTACCCAACTATATATATATATATATATATATATATATATATATATATATATAGCTGGCCACTCGTATTCGAGGGTACTCATCTACTAGGGTTGCTACCTAATCCCTATTGCAGACGCTTGCTCAGGCACATTTGGGTTTGTTCAACACCCACAGAGCCCACCTTTGGAATATACTGCAACTATGTTGAGCAGACCTTAGATACAGTTTCTGGGAAAGAGCATGTTATCTAGCATGATTAACAATCTGATCATGGCCAGCACGTTCAAACCCTTGGTTACGATGACTTGTGACTTCATGCTAGCACAGCTATTGATGGCCCCCAAGGGTACCATCTACCCAATTTCACTCACAAGGCTTAGGTCAACCCTTGGTATGGTTTTCAGGTATTTTCCAAAAGGTGTTATACACTGGGATCACCTCCTCCAGACTGATAACATTAGGAAGTCTCCTTCCTGACAAGTCAACTATGGTGAGATTCAAACCCAGGTCTTGTGGTCAGAAAGTGAATGTTCTAACCACTCAGCCACATGCTCATATATATTTCCCAGGTTTTATACAGGCTTCAGTAGAAATCCTTACCTCTCACATAATGGTAAAACATTAGTGACAATGGTATCTTCATCTAAGAGGTATATGTGGGATGTTTTTCTGTTGTACCCTGCATATCAGCTAAGGTATTTAGTAGGTTAATGTTTACCCAAATGCTGTAGAGTACTAATATTTGTACCTGACTTAACTTTATAAATATAGTGAGAAGCTCTTATATACCATCAAATGAAAAAATAAAAAAAAATAAAAGATTGTTCACTAATAACCTTTCATAAAATTATATAGTTAATAAATTTAGTCATGGACAATGTAGTTGATAAAGAAATTAATAAAGTTAATATCAATATTAAAAAAAATTTATAACCACAAATACATTTTAACATTATTATTGTTGAATTTTTAGTGATAATTTTATCCTTGATTAATTATTAAATGTTTAATAAAAGATCAGTCTCTCTATCTCTTAACTTTAAGAAATTAATAAGGTTTTTTTATTTTTTTATTTTACATTATTGGAATTTGAAATACAATTGAAAGACTAAAGAATTCTCAAACAGTTCAGTCCAATCAAATTTAGAATGAACAAATTGAAAATTATGCTAAAAGACAATAAAACCAATAAAAACTTACTTCTTGTGGTAAACTTTTATAATTTTCATTAAGGAACTGAACAGGTGCATCAGGTACTGCAACTAAAACCAAAAAAAGTATTATTTTAAAAGAACATATTTTTCATTTTCATCTTTATTAAAAAGAAAAAAATTACATTAAAGAACTTCTTTCTGAATTAGTGTAGGCAGTTAAATCTACACACATAGATTGCAGGACTCAGGACTTCTGTAAGGTCTACCTGATATAGGGAAGAATAAGCTTTACACTGCCATACCAGCCTATGATGTGTTAGTGATGGAGAAAGTTAAATTCAAAATTGTACATTTAGAATTATTGCTTTTCTTCTATATGCTGCATCCTTTCATGGCATGTACGATTATGGATCTCCACAACTTCCTATCCTTTGTAACTTAGTAATTTTGTCTTTTTGCTATCTCTAATCCCTGTTCTGCTAACTATTTACATAAGTTCATTAGATCGGTTATTTGCTTCTTTCCTCTGTCCCTCTTAAATATGTCCTGTGAGTATCAAAGTAAGCCTTCTTTCCTCATTGTGTCCTAGGAGTTTCAACTGACTCTTCCTGATACTAAGTATAAAACTTTTATCACTAAATCATTATTATCTCAAAAAAACAAAAAGAAAATTTCTTACAATGTAAAAATATTTTTTGGTTTTAAATAACCTACAAAGCTGTTTAAAATGAATCAATCTTTTGAATAATTTGAGAAAGAAATAAAATTGATATTGTTGGAAAGGATGAATGTACTCTGTGGAAGAATGAACCCCCAAATGTGTACAATATATATCTTAAATATCCTTATGAAAGTGCTAAAAATGGTTTCCTTTCTCGCTATATAACTTTGACCCATTGTACTGGTTGGGCATTCAGTTGGGTAAAATACATGATGGAGAGAAACTAAGCAACAATCATCCTGCTTTGGTCATTTGAATGATAGTGATGGACATGCAGGACTCAAACTTCACTGAAACATCTTGATTTTCAGATGAAATATCATCAACAATATTTATATACTGCTGTTTTTCATAAGCTGCAGCTATGTACTGATTCTCAGGTCTTCAATTGAAATTAATGCTAACATACAGCTGAAAAGTTCACTGGCTGACCAAAATACTCTCATGGAATGTGACCAAATGAGTTTTATTTTTCAACATGTTCTCCTTTGCAGTCCACACACTACTTCTGTCAGTGTTGCAGTGCTTGGATCTCATTGATGAAGAAGCTTTCATTCTGTTGGTCAAAATGTCGTCAACAGCAGATATGACATCATCACTACAATACTTGTTCCCAACCAAGTGTTTTTTCATATCGGGGAACTGAAGATAGTCAGATAGGGCCAAATCAGGAGAATATGGCGGGTGATCAACCAATCCAAAGCCAGTCATGTACAACATCCATTGAAAACAAAGACTTGCATGCTGGAGCATTGTCCTGATGAAACAAAACCCTTTCCCCAGTTTTCCTGGGCATTTGGTCTTGATAGCCTTTCATAAGTGCCTCAGCAAGTTGGCATAGTACTCTCCATTGATGGTGTGGCCCTTTTGAAAATAGTCAATAAATATAATGCCTTTTGTATCCCAAAAAACTGTGTGGATTGTTTCTTTTCTGTGGCTTAAAGTGATGAACCCACCACTAATCCTGGGTAGTAAATGTTCAAACAAACCAGCTGGATCTGTCAGATTTCCCCAGGATGTAATCAGCCTAATGCACTTTTGATCAGGTGTCAGAAGATGTGGCACCCACTGAGCAGAAAACTTCCTGCCAAGTTCATTGTGCAGAATATTCTCATCTCTTATGAAATATGCTAATAGAATGATTTATAGTTAATCACTATAAGGTGAACAATGTTTTCTTTGGTAGTGGGAGTTACAGGATGTCCAGAACTTAGGCCATCTTCAAGCCTCTCCCTTCCTCTCCTAAATTCAGCTTGCCCACTTTTGCACTGTTGATAAAGTTGGAACATCATACTCTAGTGTAACAACCATATCTGAATGAATGTCCCTTGGGGTTAAACCCTTTTTCTGCAGATAGCACGATGCCTAATTTTGTCCATTTTCAAGAGAAATTGCTACTAGTTACTTCTTAAGTATTCTTTGAACAGTCAGATATCAGTTTACCTGAAAAGAAATAATGCAGATATTAATAAGTAGAGTTGAAATTAATGTATGCAAGATTTCACAGATCTAGCATCACTCCTTCATAGCCAGCCTATAAACTTTTAAGGCCACCCACATATTTCGTGAGTATTCAAAGACAAACATAGCATTAATATATTGTCAAATGTAGAAATGCATGAAAACTTATGGGTTTTTTAGATGTTGAATGAAACAATGATTATCACAAGTATCAGGAATAGATTTTCTGATAAGAACCTTTTTTCAAAGAAAGGTGTCTGTGAGGTAATTTCATCAAAGAAAACAAAAATATTTGATGCTTGGAATGTTTTTCTTGCAAAATTTGAACAGCTGCAAGGCTATTAAGATCTGGTCAGAAATTGGGCGTTGCAAACTTGCAAGTGCTGCTTTTTGTTTAGTGGTACCACTGACACCATTGCATGCATTTTTATCATGGGAAAACAAAAAATAAAATGGCAAACAGTAGTTAATCCAAAGTCATCTTGGTGATAAAGATTTGAAAAGTTTTACAATTCTTAAATTGTTGTGCACACTAAATCAAAAGTAAAAAAAAGAATTTATAACGTTTTGTTATTGTTTTCAAACAAATACACCATTTCCAAAAGAAACAACATTGGATTGTTACTCATTTATGCATAAAATCATTATGTACTTGGTTTTTCCATGTAATTTCACCCCCAGATTTTAGTGTTGGTTTTTTGCTTATTTTAGATGCAAATGTCTATATTAAGAGGAGAAACTATTTTTATATGAAAATCCATGTTCTGTTAATATCATTTTAAAAACATTTTGGAAAAAAGAAATTGTTCTACATTAGATTTCCAGGGTCAAATATGGCAGATTTGAGCCTTAAACATCTATTCAATGATTACTAAATTAAATATTTTTAATGTTTGAATTTTGGTAGTTTAAAAGTATTTCCATTCAGAATGTAATTGGTTTAATTACCTGAAACTGTTGTAATGTCTTTTACAGGGTGCCAAAGTCCCCAAAAATCACGCATTTTGAAATTTTTTATCATTTTTCGGACCTCCTAGAAAATAATTGGAACATATAAAGTCTTTCATTATTATTTATTTGTAACATTCCTTGAGTAGGTTGCATATACACAGTTTTAAAAGGTTGAAAATATTTTGAGTTTAAGTATGGATCCAAAAAAAATCTCAAATTCAGCTCAGCTTCCTATTTCAAATGTCCATAAAATCAGAACCATACATAGGAGCTGAAATTTTCCAGACTGAATAGGTACAAAGACTGATTCAATTAGAATAAATTTCATGCAATTTGAAAGAACCCACCTTTCAAGTTTGGTTTCATATTAGCTGGAATACCCCAAATGGAAGATAGATTTTGTTGAGGTTTTAAAATTAAATCACTATCTTAAAATGAATGAAACAGATTCATGTAATTTTATCAGAAAGTAACTATAATAAACAGAAATAAAGTAATGAATAAAAGTGCATAGAGAATAATAAAAAAAAAAAAAAAAAACACATTAAACAAAGCTGAAAAAATAATGCACATCAAAAAATATATATATATATATATATATATATATATATATATATATATATATATATATATATATATATATATATATATAAATATAATAAATTAGGAGATCAGCCTATTCCATTACTTTGGTTCCAACTTTTCGGTATCTTCAAGTGATTTTGGTCAAATGATTTCCTAATGCTTTATTTTTCTTAAAAGCATTTTATGAACACTATATTTTTTTAAAAATAAATAAATAAGCACACAACATGAAGTGTGGTAGAAGGTGAGGAGGAGGTAGAAGGGAAAATCAAGTGTATTGGAAATGTATCAGTATAAAAAAAAAAAAAAAAAAAAAAGAATGAAAAAAAAAGAAAAATGAAAAAAAAAAGAAAAGAAAAATGAAAAAAAAGAAAAAAAAAAAAAAAAAAAAAAGGACTTAATCCCATACTGATACATTTCCAATACATTTGATTATTCCTCCTCTTTCTCACCTTCTAACCCACTTCATGTTGTGAACTTATTCATTTATTTATTTTATTTTTTTTTTTTTAAATATAGTGTTCATAAAACTTTTTTCAAAAAATAAAGTGTTAGGAAATCAATTGACAAAAATTGCCTGAAGATACTGAAAGATTGAAAACAAGGTAGCGGAATTGGCTGATCTCCTAATTTTTTTACATTTAAAAAAATCTACATGTTAAATTTTTATCTTTATATATATATGCATTGAGCACTTTTTAAAAATACTGTTTCCTGATCTAATTCAACTCTAACCATTAACTTTTTATTATTATTATATATATATATATATATATATATATATATATATATCACACACAAAGTAATTGTAGTACCTTGTCAGTCATCTGTAATGAAATTTGAATAAAAGAAGGATTGCTAGCCAAATACACAATTATCAAATTACATGACCTGTTAGCCAACAAGGAAAGTAATTGTAGTACCTTGTCAGTTGTCTTTAATGAAACTTGTATAAAAGAGGCATTGCTGCCCAAATATCCAATTATTAAATTACATGATCTGGTAGCCAACAAGGAAAGTAATACATATTGCTTATATATATATATATATATATATATGTTAGCTAAACCTAGAGAGCCAGACAAACCTACCAAGGTTTCACCTAAGCGGATCGTCAGAGATGGCTGGCTAAAAAGTTAATGTAAGAACGAAATATTTTCGCCTATAAACATAAAATCATAACCTTTTTACGTTACCTTTTTAGCTAGCCATCCCTGACAATCTGCTTAGGTGAAGCCTTGGTAGGTTTGTCTGGCTCTTTAGGTTTAACTAGGTCTGCTCTACTTAACGCATTGAGCACTTTATTTAGTTATTTTGCTTACTCATATCGGGTTTTTTTTCTTTGGACTTGCATTCTAGACGATTATTTTCGGCTGACATACATGTTCTTTGTTCTTTCTTTTTTTTTTTTTTATACCTTTTTTTTCCCTTTAATATTGGTTTGATTATTCAAAAATCAAGACACCAGAGATTTTCCAGACGAGTATAATTTCTTATACTTATAAGATTATTACTAATATATGTGTGTGTATACATTATATATATATATATATATATATATATATATATAGATAGATGAGAAGAAAAATATTCTATAGATTTAACATAAATCAAGGTAAAAAGTAATACCCAAAAAGAGAAGGGTAAGTAATTCTCCACTCGAAAAGGCAATTTTTTTTTATTAGTCAGTGCTCATATAATTAGATCAGGTTTAAATTTAAAATCTAAAAGTAATTGTTGACAATGTCATTAAGACTGCTGTTCTAATTACATCATCAATTGTAGAATTGTTTATGCTGATTTTTTTTGCCACTGATAATTTTTACCTTTTAACAATAATCAGATGAAGGTTTATTGTCTTAACATAACAATAACTCATTCCCAATTCAAAAATGTTGAGTTAAATGTCTGTAAATCCTTTCAACAAAATTACTTTCAGTCTTTGACATTCTAGATTATATGCAAAGCATACATTGCATTAAAAAAACAAAAAAAAAAAAACATCCATTTACAGCTAAAACAATTGTTTTAAGAAATCATGTCAAAACATATTTAAAGGTGTGGACTGACAATTTGGGAAAATAAATAAATAAAGGAGTGTTATCTCCTGCAGGTCATGTTGGTTTTAATATAAAAATACAAATATAGTAAACTTTACAATATAAGTACTTCAGAATTTAAAGTGTCAAGGCAAGATGCTATCTTTGATGAGTTTTGTTAGTCTATTTAAAAAAAAAAAACAAAAAAAACAAAACAAAATCCTTTCAAAAATACATTACTATTTTTACTTGTTTAAGAATCATGAACTAATTTACACCTTAGCATTTATCTATTCTATATTTACTCATTAAAAAAGAGAAAAGTGGGAGCAAAATTTTTGAATAGATTAAATTCTTCAACATCTATATATTTCTGAGATGAGGCATTGTAACTATTTATATGATTCATATTGTTCAGACTATAAATAGATTAAATCCTTGCCTGAATTTCTGGGATGAGGATTTATTATTATTTACATTACACTTAAACTATTGCTCCCATCTTTGTTGTTACCACAATATTTCAGCTGTTGTGACATTCATCAGATGCTTGTTGATCTGTGAAACCGAGACAATAGGCAAGTAGATCAAAGGGTTGAATCACGAATTTGGTGACATAGTAATCATGAGTTTCATTTCTGGGTTAAGTAATATAGACTTAGTGGAAATAGGATGAGCAATAACTAAGCAGTACTAAATAAGAACTAGACATCCCTAGATATGGCCTGGAGTACAAGAACAATCTACAACCATAAATTATTTAATCTATGGTGGTATATTGTTCTTTGTTCAGTTTGAAATTCCCTGAAGGTTACTCGGATTGACAAGTACCTGAAGAAAGCCAGAGGGTACAATGACTAAAACATTGTGATAATAACAACAAAGATGAAGATAATAATCCAAGTGTAAATAAGCTTATTTGATCCCTTTGGTAAACTTCATTCAGTAAAATGATGCTAAAATAAATAAATTCAGAAAAATACATCAAGGATATATCTCCACCATAAAACAATAGTTTTCAACAGGACAAGGACATTTTTTTAATTATTACTGCTAATTATATAATTATAATCTTAAAATCATCGTTAGAAGCGAGTGATATCATTAACCTGACTGAAGTGATGTTCCTACTAGTAATTAATGATACAAACATTGGTTCTGAAGACAACTGCAAAAATAATCAAACATACATTCTATGCAGATATTAAAACAATGAAAATGACAATTAACATAGTATATTTAATATGATTTCAAATCAGGACAAGAAATTATTTTTAAAAAATCAATTTAAATGAAGTAATTTTATTTTTATTCAAATTGTTTCATCAATATACAAAAAGAAAAAACTTATTTTTACATTCATTTATAAAATTTACAAATTCCATGAGAGATCAGCAATGAATTTTGTGTTAATGCAACCTCCACAAGTCAACATTTCTCAATCCCATAGAGCACCTTTGGGATATGGTAGAAAGAGGAATTTGAATCCTGAATGTTTAGCCAACCAATCTAGATCAATTGTAGGAGGCCATGATAATAGCATGAACCCAAATTTCAAAAGAGTCCTTCCAGAACATTGTTGAATCCGTGCCAAGAAGAATTGTGATGGTTTTAAAGCAAATGGAGGTTCAACCAGGTATTGAAAAAGAACATATATAATGTGACTGGTGTGTGTGTGTGTGCACACATATATATTAATAATTACACATATACCTATGTTTACAGTACAACTCAGAGTTTCATGGTTTACCCATTCATCAGGTACAAAAATTTATGAACTGTTCAAAACAGTTGTTTTTTTTTTAAATTCTGGGTCTCATTGGAGCAACACTACATTATATGTTTTTTTTTTTTTGTTTTTTTTAAGTATTTCACCCCAAACAAGGTGGAAGTGCCACTAGCATGCAAGGGGTTACAGAGAGTAAAAGTAAGAGTAAAGAGGAGTGCTTGATGAAAGGATAAAGAGGACGGGGATCAAGATCAAGGCATCAGATGTCAATTGATGTTACATTTGAATATTTGAAGATTATAGATACCAGGGAAGCAAGTAAAAAGAAGGGAGTTCCACTGTTGGGAAGTGTGAGAGAAGAAGCTGTTGGAGTAGAATAGGCAGTTACATTTAACTGTATCTTCAGTAAAAGGGTGGAACTGAGATGCCAACCTAGTTGCACGCTTAAATTCATGCAGTTGGGGCAGTTGCCATGAAAATATTTGTAGAAAAGACAGAAGGAAGCCACATCACGTCTGTGAGAAAGTGACTGGAGTAGAGATGCCAGATCAGGACTTATCACACTGCATATCTGTCTTTGAATTTTGTCAAGAACCTCAAGATGAACAGCGGGGGCACCAGACCATATATAGTAACAGTATTCATGCAAGGATGAATTGTAGATTTGAAAGATAGACAAGAAAAAACATTCTGGTGTGACACAGAAAACCAAATTTCCTTGCAGTAGATGTAGCTATTGATTCAATGTAGTCATTCCACCTCAGGTCAGTAGAAAATGTGAAACTAAGAAGATACAGAAAGATGCTCTCATGAAGTTGAGCATCAGCCATGCTGATAGGAGGCAGGGAGGTTTCTCTATGTGGATACAAAGTTCAAGATTATTATAAATACAACACAGTATTGGGCATAAATTCAAAATATAGTGTTAATAGGTAGATGGTAAATTTTGAAAAATCTTATTTTGATGGTCAAACAGTGTCTTTGAACATTTGAACCCAGTATATTTAGTAAATTTGATGTGTACATAGTGTAACAGTTACCAGTGCAAAAAGTTTCATCTTAGCCTGTTGTATTTACTTTTGCACAAATGCCCTTGGAAAAGGTATGAATATAACCTATCCCCCCTCACCTCAGTTATTGGTTAAATAGAAGAGTAAACGGAGTTCTCTAGACTTGGGTGGAAACTAAACGGACAATTCTGAATTAACAACTCTTAAAAAGTCAATAAGAAACCACTACACTCTTTTTGCAAAGAAACCATGGCAATTCACAAAGAAGAGGAATCTGTGGAGAGTCATAATCACCTATGTCCTGAATGGACATGACATTTAAAAAAAGAAAATTTATTAAGTCATGGGTTTGACTTTTTATATTTTAGTCTAAAGTAATGTCTACTTTCACTCCCTTTATAATCTTAGTCATTTTCTACATTAATTAAATATTTCTATTAATAGGGAAATATGATTAAACACCGAATTTCATCATTTTCTTTTTCAAAAGTGCATTGGAATAAAAGTGCTTTTCAAAAGCATAAATAAAGTATTAAGAAACAGGAAAATTTCCTTAGAAGAAAAAAAAGGGTACAGAACTGTTATGCTATATTGGTCCTCCTCTATGGTAGTGAATGGTGGACAGTCTCCTCACATATAAGGAGGAGACTTGAGATAACAGAAAGGTGGTTTTACAGAAGGATGCTGAAAATACCACGGGCTGAACATGTGAGTAACAAGTACGTTTTAAGGAAAATGGAAACAGAAAGGACACTTATGCTTAGAATCAGAAAGAGACAGTTGAAATTTCTAAGACAAAAATGAGGAAAGAAGGTTTGGAGAATTTGATACTCACAGTATATACTGAATGCAAGAGGGACAAAGGAAAGTAGAATAACTTATTTAATAAACATGCGTAAATGGATGGTAGAACAAAGACTGATAGTGATAGTAATGGAACAAACACTGCTAAAAGCTACAAAAGATAAATTATGGAGTACCATGAAGCCACATGCTGAAGGGATATAGCACATAAAAGAAGAAGAAAACTTTGGGTAAGTTTCGGAACTCAGCTGGCATATTACATTGAAAATAATTTTGGTGATTCCAGAATTAAGGCAAATGTTACTGACAAAATAGACTGATTATAATTTTATTTATTTTTTTTAATATGATGATAGCTTTTAACTATAATAATGATAATTTTGATTGAGGGGGAAATAAATATTGCAGAGAATTGTACTTAGACATTATTTTAGAGCGAATGGTACTTGAATTTTATTGTAGTGCAAATGGTACTTGGACTTTATGAACTGAAGCACAGTATTAGATTAATGGCAAAGTCTCCTCATTTTACAATTGAAATGGCTAGATGCAACCATAAGTTATATGCTGACAGTTTCTTCTCACTTGTGGAACTCTTTCACATTCTTTCTTTCCAATCAACTTTGATCTTCAAAAATTTAAATGTAATGTCAATTGTTATCTTCTGTCTTCTTAATTCCTGTTCTTTTATTGTTCTCCCTCCTTAATGGCTTTTTTTTTTTTACACTTAGTAACACCTTGCGTCTTACTGGCTTTATTGCCTTGCTTGGAGTGAAATGATTAAAAAAGCAAAAAAAAATCAAAAAAGTCTAAGTGGCTAAAAACGAATGCTTACGTGAAGAATATGCAATTGGTAATCCTCCACATGGAATAAAATCATCTGGCATTGTAGCAGCTGATTTCAAGGGCAGCTTTTTTTTGGGTGTGTTTCCATGTTGGTCCCATCGTTGCATCTGGGAGAACAATTGCTAGCTAAATATGATGGACCAACAAGCTGTAAAGAGAAACATGAAAACAATATCAAGTAAAAAAAAAAATAAATATTATCAAATCAACATAATCTGTTGCATAAGATTTTGTTGAAAATTCTTATTCATTGCAGTTCTATTCAAAGAAAAAAATGTTCTTTCATTACCTGTTATTGAAAGGAGAATTTTACTTTGAGCAACAAAACCATTTGATGCCTAAAACTATAAATTGATGGACAGGTAGTGAGTTGGCCAAAAAGTTAATTCTTTTTTTATGGTTATGAATAAAGTTTATTGAAAGAAAAAAAAATGATTTTATTCATTAAGATTTTTTCTTCAACAAACTTAAATTAAAAAGCTTGCTTTTGACTGTACTGTAACATATCCTATCAATATGCATTAAAAACATTTTCTCAAAAGGTATATTTTCGTTTATTGAATCTATCAGTGATGAATAAAAGCATGCTGCTGTTCTTCACAAGTTGAAGTGTTATAGTGTTTCTGGCTGTTTCTTTGATCTGATTCAATCTTTCTTATCAAACTGTGGAGTGAAAGTTGTCTAGAATGGTCACTCCCCTAGATCTTTTTGTGTTAATGTGGACATCCCTCTTGGACATACTTTGTTCTTTATTTTCATCAAAGACCTCCCTGGTGGTTGATATCTATGCTTGTCTTAAAAGTAATTTTGATAAAATCATTGAATTTGCAAATGACCAGAAAAATTACCTTCAATCCATTAACTGAAGCAAAAAGTGCCTTATTTTTAACATTTTCACATTAAAACTGCTTTCTATTAATCATTTTGAATAAAGTATTTTTGCCTAATGCTAACCCCCAAGAGAGCAACTCACTCTACTGTCATGGCCTAATGTTTTCCACTGACATGAAGTGAAATGATTATATTGAACCAATTGCTAAGTTTGTTGCTAAGAAACTATATTGTATACTATATTGTTTTAGACAATTTTTCTCACTGGAATATACCTTGTGCATTTATAAGTCTACCATTCATTCATGTATCCAATATTGCTGTCACATTTGGTTTGGTGCTTCTGTTTTATATCTAAAGTTTCTTGACAAAATCCAAAAAAGAATCTGCAACATTATCAGGCATACACTGGCACATTGGTTTCAGTCACCTTCCCACCACTGTAAAATCACTTCCCTGTGCCTTTTCTGTAACTATTTTTACAGTAATTGTTCTGATGAGCTTTCATCTTTGGTACCACAACTTCACAAATTTAAGCACAGTACTAGATTGAAATTATGAGGCCAGCCAGTTAAGATTGTTAGTTGTAACAATAAGTTCCATACTAACAGTTTCTTCTCTCACACTCATCACTTGTTGAACTCTCTTCCAGCTTCTACTTTCATGTCAACTATGATCTTCAAAAATTTAAATATAATGTCAGTCGCCATATTCTGTCTCCTTGAATCCTGTACTTTTATTGTCTTTTCTATTTCTTTTACTCTCAGTAACCCCTTGTATCTTAGTGGCTTTTATTGCCTTGCTTGGAACAAAATAATTAAAAAAATATATAAAAATAAATAAGCAAAATTTTCAATACATTTTGAATTCAAAAACAGCAATTGATGAAAAGTATTCATAATTGATTAAGAGAAAATGTGTAATATTCCTTTGGGATAACCCTATACTAAATGATTCTTTGGTAAACAGGTAAAAATAATTATAACTTGGTTTTCATTTATATGCCATATTCATCAAATATTGCACTTTCTGTTTACCATTTATTCTCTTACAAGCAGTATAACCCATTTTTGACCAGGTCTTTCATTACTGGGAATTTTTGCCGTTCAATTGGAGCAGTTTAAGTTTAAAGTTAGCCCACCTGAAAATCAATATTAGTAACAACATTTGGGTGCAACTGAGGTACATCACCAAATGGGGGGGGGTAACAATTTGAATGGGGAGGCCCGATAACAGAACTGTATAATAATAATAAATATTATTGTAATAATTTAAACTATTTTTATTAAAGTTTTTATGAAAGATATATATCCAAAAACAGACAGTAAATAGTAAAACGTTGCTGAGAGTTATAATGTGCAGGAAGTGGGGAAGAGCCATTGTTGCTTACAATTTAGACTCAAAACCAGCACTGAAGAATTATCTATCAAACAAAAAAAATTTTTATCAAAATCGGATGAAAGCTGTGGAAATGCATAAACAACATCCGATCAAACACACATTTTGAGAATAATAGATGTAGATTTTTGTCAGTTGGAATTATGAAGTTGACTTAAAGATGAAAGAAGATAGTGGAACAAAATGGTAAATATGTTGTGGAATAAAGTTAATGTTGAAAATAAAAACAATGGTAAATATGGATAACATGACTGCAATAAGGTGTAGTATCAAAAAGACAGTTTTTCCCATGACACTGCTTTTTTTTTTTTTAACTACCTTCACTCTTCAGTAATGTTTATTGTTTTAAAAAGCAATGTTTAGAATTTTAAGAAAACCTAAATACATGATGAAAGTGAATTTACAACAAAAATATTAAATACTATTTATTTATTAGATTGTTTATTTACAAGAAATTTATATTTACAACATTCTAAAAACTAATACAATTAGAACTAATTCAATGCAATATTTATCATTTACCAATTTATAAAGAAATAAATGTTAAAACAATTTTTATTCACAAATTTATAAATATTTACTAAATTATTAAAATATGTGAATCAACTATAAGGAAATCCTTATTATTTACCATTTAATAAAGTTTGAATCAATTGGCAATAACCAATGTTTTGCCAACCATTCCAATAAATAGTATAACAGTGTAAATAAACATTCTAATAAATAGTGTTTAATATTTTTGTTTTCAATTTTTAAGAACAAAGAAAATGTTCTTTCATATGTTTAGGTTTTATTACAATTCTAATCATTGCTTTTTAAAACAATGAACATGTTTGAAGAGTGAACGTAGTTAAAAAGGTATGGTAGTCATGAAAAAAACCATCCTTTTAACACTCCGTCTTATTGTGGGCATGTTTATGTATGTTTACCAACTAGAATTTTGTTGTAGAGAGGAACATACCTTTCCAGAAGAGAACTTAGACTCTTGCAAATACATATAGACTGACACTGAGAAACATCAGTAGAAGGAGTAAATAAGTATAGAGTCAGAGATCTAGCTTATCTGCTTACTACCTATTTCAGCAAGATTACATTGACTCTAAATGACATACTACTTCTTGATTGTTATCTTTATTCAATGCAATGAAGACATAACAGTGGTGATGAGAACTCAAATTCACATGGTAAAAAAAAAAAAAAAAGTTTTGTTTCCTCTTACTTACATAAATAGCTGGCGAAGTTCAAAATTTGTAAAAAAAAATTTTGTGGAGTTCATGTAAATTCATGGTGCAACACAGAAGTCAATAAACTTCAAGGCTGTATAATATCTGGCTATTTGGAAAAAAAAATTTTTTTTCTTCCGAGGTAAAGACTACTTGTACAAACAAAATACACGGTAGAAGAATTGCAACAGCAAGAATTCCAGAAGGCATTATTACAACAAATACAATGGGAATGTCTTGAATATCAAAAAGAGATAAAAGAAATCCTAGGAAAGCTAGGAACAGACAATGCGTCAATTTCATTTTCACCGGACACAGTCGCTAAGTCAATTAGTAAATTTAATTATGTCCCAGAAGAAAACATTACATTCCTATCATACTTTAGAAGGTAATAGGCATTTTCAGAGAAGAATGTCAAGGATAGTCAGATGAAAAGAAGGTATGTAAGGTATGTCGTCTTTTACAACTGCGCCCCACTGGATATGAAAATATATCTGAATCTCATTTTGCTGAATACTCCAGAAAAAAAAAAAAAGTTATTTAATGAAATGGTGTTGATATTATTGAAAACCTTTGGTGAAAAGAATTCACTGTTTAATACACGGAAGTGCATAAACCTTACTAAGGATGAAAATGAAAATTTTGTCACATATGCCAGTAAAGTCAATCATGAGTGTGAGAAATTTAAGATGGATGAATTATCCCCAGACAAATTTAAATGTCTAATTTTTGTTAAGCAATGATGCAGAAATAGGTTCTCGAATATTTATAAAACTTGAACATAATTCAAAGTTAATGATGCAGACTGTTGAAGAAGAGTGCCAAAAAATTGTCAATTTAGCATGATAGAGTGAAAATCAAGAAAAATAGCATGACAGAAGTACAAATGGTTCAGAAAGATGGTAGTACCAAAAGAAAAAATCCAGAATAAAAATACTGCAAAACTTAACCCATGCTATGACTGTGGTATGCTTAATTTAAGAAAGGACTGTCCATTTAAAACCATAAAAAGGTTTCAATTGTAGAAAATCAAGTCACAAAGAAAAGCAAAAGAAATACACAAATTAACTTGGTGAAAGTAGTGCTACCAGCTAAAAAATTGGTAACTTCAAATAATAGAAAATTTTTGGCAGTACACATAAATAACATTATGGCAAGATTTCAACTGGACGCAGATAGTGATATTACAATTATTGATGAACAAACTTGGAACAGAATTAGCAAGCCTAACTTGAGAAAAAACTGATGCAAGATGAATATCAGGCAAGAAATTAATTTTTCTTTAGAAAATCACATGTAAAAAATTCCAACTTAAATTTACTAGGCATTGACTGGCTAAAATTGTTTGTACTATGGAATTGGCTGATTAATTCATTTCATGGAAAAATTGATTGTTCATCAGAGAAAAAGATTACAGCTAAATAAACACAGTAAAAAATAAATTCACAAATATTTTCCCAGAGGAGTTGGAAAAATGTACAAAGTCAAAGGCATTTATTAGATTAAAAGGAAATGTGGTTCCAGTGTTTACGTCAAAAAGAAATATACCTTTTGCTGAGTCGGAGTCTATTAACACCAAACT